AGGGACTGGGCACCCTTGTCACGGGGAAATGCCTGGATAGGAGAGAAAGCAACCCCTCCAAGCGATAAGAATTCTGGAGGGATTTGCTTTGGAGACACATGTTACAAAACAAACTATTTAGGGAAGTGTCTTAAAGAGGAAAGGGCAGCAAAGAGGCCCTAGAACAACAGAGATTCATCTGCCCCACTGCAGGTGGCCAAATGGTACCGCCACCAAACTCAGGAGAGCATCCCTGCATCATGGTACCTGAGGGTGGGGGCACTCACCTGTGCGTCCCAGCAGCCAGAGACAGCAGCAGGGATGGATGAAATCGTTCCTGTTGTTTCTCTCAGGCAGGGCCGAGAGGCAGGGACAGGCATCGTGGTGGACCCTGGAGCCTGCTCTGCCTGTAGGTTTGTTTTGGGGAGGTCCTGGATTCTGCTCTGCTGAGAGAGGCAGAACTGTATCTTCCATGATGTAAGAAGAAGTTACTATGATGGGAGGAAAGGGCTGTGGCATTATGACAGTTCCAGTTTCTAGATTATGAGATAGGAATCAGACAAAAGCTAAGAAGTTACTGATATAAGGGTCCCAAGGTGCTTGGAGGGGGCCTGGCAGACACCCTTAGTACCGAGACTCTGCCCTTTGGGCCCCTCACTTTGTGTCAGGTGTGCTGGTGACCCTTCCTCATCCAGGAGCCCAGAAACACGGTCTGTCGTAGAGAAAGGTGTGTCCAGCCTCCTGTAATGGTCCAAGACCCGGGCTCAGATGAGCTGTGCAGCTAGTCAGGGGGAGGGCTCCTGGGAATGGGGCTTCACAGGTGTGGGTCCCTGTTTTTCCCCACTCCAGAGGTGTCAGTTGTGAAAATGAGCCTGAAGCCACGTCTGATGGGAGGCTTTGGCTCTTCAAAGTACACTTACAGGAGAAGTGGCTTTGAGTGAGCAAGGAGTTAGATCTTGGGAGAAGGAGGATAGCTTCTGTTTTAGAGGAAAGGGGAAGAAACCTGTGTGTGTTAAGCGGGAGGTGCAGGGCCTTATGGTGCTCATACTGTAGGAACAGTGATATGCAGAAACACAGCTGGGAGGAGGGGTATCTCTTTTGTCTGTCCCTAGTCTGGGGCCATCTCTTGGGAGAAGGGAGTAGAGGAGCTGTAGAAATGCTCACACCAAGAATGCATCTCCCCTCTTCCTTCTGAGCAGCAGCCACCTGCACATGAAATCACATCCAGAGCCTCTAGCCATGAGCTCATCACTTCTGTGGGCCCAGTGCCAGACACTGCCTCCTGTGACTTAGTTTCCCCACTGCTCCCGACCCCTGCCTCCTTGCCAGTGGCTGACCGGATGTTGGTGATGACAAGGGGTGGAATGAAAGGGGCCAACCAGCGATGGGATTTGATTACTCTGTAGCACGATGAGTGTCCCTCTCCCCTCGACACCTTATTCTAGCTTGCTAAACATTTTTTCTGAGAGGGATTTCTTGACAAGGAACTGGTCAGAGTGTTCCATTTAGCACTCATTGTTCTAACTCTAATCTCTGTCTTCCTGATGACAGACTCTATTCTCCAGAGCTGATTGCAACAAGGTCCCTCTTCCCTCATGCTCTTTGACACTCCTCCCATGGAGATGTAGGCATATGTTATCTCTCCCTGAGTCTGGGCAGGCCTGTGACTGTAACAGAAGCTATGTGATGTGACTTCTGAGGCTAGACCATATTAATTCCCTGTACTTCTACCTGGCTCTCTTGGGATGCTCATTTTTGGAACCTTGCCACCATGCTATGAGGAAGCGCAAACTAGCATGCATGAAGAGATCACATTGCAGGGACACATGTAAGAGTTCTAGCTGACATCCCAGCTAAGATGCAGCCAATATCCATTATCAATCATCAGACATGTAAAAGAAGAAGCTTCCAGATGACCCAGCAGTTGAATCATCCCCACGTGAGTTTCCTAACTGAGACCCCAGGCAACATATAGCAGAGACAAGTCATTCTCGTACCCCGTCTGAATTCCTTACCCATAGTGTCATTGATCATAATAAAATGCCTGTTTTTTTGACCTTGTGTTTTGGGGTGTTTTGCCATGCAGTGATAGTAACTAGACAGCACCCTTGGCAACATTTTCCTTACCACCACTCATTAGCTTCTGCCTCCTTCACTGGACTTGCTGTTCCTTGTTGGCAGGAACCACTGAATACGGGGATTAAAAGGCAGGCTTTGGGGCCAGAAGGAACAGTGGGTCAGAATCTTGGACTTAGGTGGTATTTGCATGGAAGTGGGCAAGTCATTCACATGCCTATGCCCTGCTGTCTGCTAAGCAACTACAGAGCATAGTCATCACTCACATACCATCAGCTCTTTTTTCTGTGTCCTCATCTCAGTGTATGTCATACATTGAGATGGGATTTGATTGTTTAACCAGAAAACCTTGGTGTCATTTTTGATTTTGATAACTCCTCCCATTCCCCATATCCTTTAATCTAAATATATCTTTAGTCTGTTCAGACCACTATAAGAGAATACTATAGACTGGGTGGCTTCTAAGCAACATGAATTTATCTCTCACGTATCCGAAGCCTGGCAAGTCTAAGACCCAGAAGCCAGCAGATTTGGTGTTTGGTGAGGGCCCACTTCCTGGTTCATAGACAGCTTCTCACTGTGTTCTCACATGGTGGAAGGGGCAAGAGAGCTCTCTGGGGCCTCTTTTATAAGGACACCAATCCCATTCATGACTCTACCCTGATGACTGAATCACCTCCCAACAACAGCCTTCCTCCTAACATTGTCATATTGGGCATTAGGATTTAACATATGAATTTGGAGGGGACAAAAACCTTCAGTGCATAGTGACCTTAAATCCTCCTGCATCTTTCTCTCCACTGTCATCTCTGGCTTGGACAGGCTACCATTTTGCCTCCCTTACTCTTTCTCTATTTCAGTCTTTTCCTTATGCTGTAGTCAGAGTGATACTTTTAGAAATTTAGAGAAATCTGACCATGCTTCTCTCTGGTAGTGGCTTCCCACTGTTCTTAGGGAAAATAAAAGATGTTTCTCTTGTTCCTGACTGATCTGGCTCCAAATGCTTTGCCAGCCTCAGCTGCTAGCCCTTTCACTCCCAAGATGCTGCTCTTTCTTCCCTGAACTTCAGATGACCACTCCCTTCTCCTCCTTTTTGTAGATAAACTGAGAGTGCCCTTAGTACCTTGTAAGAATTGTAATCAGATGTTTATGTTGGAAGTCTTCCTTACTTGCTAGAGCACACACCTCAGTGAGAACAGAGGTTGGCTCAACTCTCTTTCCCACTGAGAATGCTCAACAGGTGTTTTGTACCCAGGAGGAAATAGCCAGTGGATTCATGGTAAGTGTTCACAGTGACCCCAGGTGTTTGGTCTCTGATCTAGCTCTCCCCAGAGGCATTAATGCCACAGGATCCCTATATGTTCAGGGATCCCACAGTTGCCCTTTCTTTTTTCCCCTTTTTGGGGCTCCCCCATCCCTGGAAACCCTGGGAGCCTGACACTGATTAACTAAACCACAGTAGTAGCCTCACAGCTACCTCATCCTTGATCTCCACTTGGTCAGGACTGGGTTCTACCCTTAATTTTGGATGCTCCCTTGGATGGATGTTGCTGGAGGACAAAGAGTTGATATCTAGCCTTGTGAAATGAGACATTGCCTCCTCCTTGGGTCCTAATCCCCTCTGCTTTCCTCAAGACATCTTTTGCAAATGCTTGATCAAGTCCCTCTTCCCCCATCACCACATCTGAGATGGAGCTTCTTAGTGTATTCCAGGAAATTCCTGGGGAAGTAAGAGTGATGTATTCCTCTCTTGCCGCCAGATGAACCTGGGCACCATGTGTCCTTGTGGGCTCTTCTTGGAATGACTTCTTCCCTAACCTTAGCCTGATCCCATACCAGGCTGTGACCACAACCTTGTCCTGCCTCCCTGGACCTCCCCTCAATTTACAGTTAGGCCATCTACTTCCTGTAGAATGGAGGGTGAAGACTCCATCACCAGCAGCACCTTGTGGCCTAGGAGGAGACACACAAAAGGAAGGGTGGGCAACAAGTATCATCAGAGGGCACAAGGGGGTCCATCCTCCACGACTTTCACTTTCCCTTCTGAGGCTCCCAGGGCCCATCTTAGACAACGGTTCCCATTGCACTATGCCTTGCCAGCACAAATACCTGAGACAGGAGCCCAGGTGAGAACACACGCATCTCACACTGCTGGGCTAGGCCTTGTCTAGGAAAAAGGAGGCAGCTCCAACCATTTAACTACCTTGTATTACCTTGTTAGCACTCAGCATAGTCCTATGAGATAGGTATTATGATTTCTATGTTGCTGAGAAAATCAAGGCTCAGAGATTTTAGAAACTTTCCAGGATCACAAGGTAGTGAGAATCAAACTCATGTTTGTCAAACACTGTGCTCATCCTTGCTGCCCCTCTGAATCAAGAAAGGGCAGGAGATCCAGACACCCGGGACACCCAGAGCCTGGAGCCTGGGAGAACACCACCACATCAGGGCACAGAAGGATGTGTCTACACTGACAGTAAGTGGAACGTAGATGTGTTCCTATTGAGAGAATTTCAAGGCTGCTCTTTTCAGCACCAGGAAGGACCTGGGTTTAATCAGAAAATGATGAAAACACTAAAAAATCTCCTGGCAAGAAACCATTAAGATCATTCAAGGAAACACAGGCTCCCTGTCTTGGCAGGAGTTTCAGACATTATCTAGCCCTCTTATGACCTTGTACCTTAAAATCCTAGTACCTGAAATCCTGTTTGAGACCTTAAAAGAAAGGGCAACAAATAATATATGAGAGATCTCTCTAGGGAGTTGGATTGGGTGTACTTGATTCCTAATAGAGATTTAGTTTTTGATAAATACCTATACGATTTTGGGTTGTGTGTGTGTGTGTGCGCATGCACTTCTGTGTGTGAGGGAGAAGGAGAGAGTGAGAGTGTGTGAGTCAGCAAGAGAATGAGAAAGAGAGTGGACTTTGCTTTTATAATTTAAACTTTTATAAATCTGAAAAAGAACATTTTATGGAAAGATGAAGGAGCCCCCTTAAATAAATCATGGAGGCCTTGCTATTGGCTACAACTGAGACCTATCCAGGTGAGCAGAGGCCCAAAATGTCATTTTTACGGTGATCTTCTGCCATCCGTCTTGTTCCACCTGGCAGGTGAGCATAGTGTCCTCCTCATGGTCACTGTTTTCCACCAGGATGGAGCTCTGTATGCTGTACAGTCCATCTTTGCCCTTGGTGGGGGTCAGGGTCTCATCTCTCTGGGAGACACTTCCATCCTTCAGCCATGTCAGTTGCATGTCCTGGGGATAAAACTTCTCTGCCTGGCAGGTGACATTCATCTTGTTATTTGAGGCAGGGTGCTGAAGAATGGACACCTTGGGTGGAACTGAAATAGCATAGAACACATGCTCAGATGTCATGAAACAATCAGATCCATCTGCTTATTGCTTGGTGGCCATTTACTTAGCACCTACTTAGCATGTCGCTGTGCCTAGCACATAGTAGATGTTCGGTAGTTGGAATGACCTGTTATTATTTAAGCCTATTCCCTGGAGCAAATTTGGGAAAAACTATGCTCCAAAGACACGTGAAAGCTGGGTACACGTGGTGTTACCTACCTATTATGGTCTCAGACAAATCAGCCTTCCCATGAAGAGGGTAATGCAAGCTCCGGTGGTATACACTGCAGGTAACATGAGAGTTTAGGTCATCTAGAGCTGGGACTACCTCCGTGGTACTGACGACTTTGTAGGCATTGCTGTTCTTTAACTGAACCACATGGGTCTGGAGGGATGAGAGTTTCTTCCCATTTTTGAACCACTTCAGGGTGACATTTCTGGGATAGAAGCCATAGGACATGCAGCTAAAATTCACAGTCTGCCCGAGCAAGGCCCTCTCCAAGGGGCCTATTACCACAGGGAGAGAGGGTGGAGCTACAAGAAGGAAGATGAATAAATAATTAGTGTTGGTAAGCTATAAAGTATTCTATGTGCCTTATAAAATTTTAATTCTGACAAGTCCGTGATTAGGTATGATAATGTCCATTTTATAGATAAGGAAATTGAAGCTGGTAGAGGTAAAATAAAAAATACTAGCAACTTGCAAAGCCTGGACCGGAAAACAGGTTTATCTGACCACATAGCCTGTGATCTTGACTCAGGTGACACTGTTTCTCTGTTCAGAAGCCATATTCCTATATCTTTCTCACTCTTGGTATTGATTACTCCTACTTACCCATTCTCATTTAATAAGGTTTAGACAACAAGGAATAGAAGGAAGTGTTCTTAGCCTAATGCTTATCTACCAAAAATTCTAAAACAAAATATCTTTAATGTGCAACTTTATAAGAATGTCCTTTAGTCAGCAACAACAGGATACCTACTCTCATTGTATCTATTCAATGATGTACTGGAGAGTCTGGCCTAAGCAATGAAACAAAAAGTGATGAATAAACAATAATTGAGGAGAAAGAAAAAATATAATGTAAACTGACACAAAAAACTTAAGTGAATCTATTTGCTGACTAAAAAACTGATAGATTAGAAAACCAAATGAATAAAAATTTTAAAATTATTATATTTGACTGAACACAGAATAAATTCCAAACAGATTAAATTCTTAAATCTAAAATTTAATAAAACTATAAGAAGGAAAAAATAAGGGAATATCTATATGTCTCTGAGTTGGAAAAGAACTTTAAGACAAGATCCTAAAAACACAATTCATTGAGATTTGTAAAGTTGACTTTAAAGATTTATAAAGGTAACTATAATAAGGATCAAATTATACACGACGAGAAACATAAACAAAACTTAAAAGCAATCAGTAAATAGGAGAGGAAAGGAAGTAATACATATAAGGTAATGTGAATGAAACAAAAAGCAAGCATAAAACATAGAGGATCAACAAAACCAAAAGTTGCTTCTTTGAAAACATATAATTCTCTGGTGAAAATGAAGAGAGGAAATAAAATATTGAGAGAGAGAGAGAGAGAGAGAGAGACATACAATCACAGATGTGCAAAAGGGGCATTACTATAAACCTTGCAGGCATTAAAATGATAAAAATTGGATATATTGAATAGCTTTTGCCAATATAAAATATAAAATTTAGAAAAAGTGAAAAACTACCTGGAAAAATGTAGCTTATCAGAAGTGAATAAGAAGAAATAAGAAACCTGGGCAGTATCAAAATTATTAAAGAAACTGAATCAGTAATTAAAAAAATTTTCCTGTAATGAAAATTCTAGATCTAGATGACTTCACTGGAAAGATCTGCCAAACATTTATGTAATGAATAAATTTTATCTTATGTAATCTTTTCTAAAAAATAGAAAAAGCAGATAGACTTCCCAACTCATTTTTTGAAGATAGCATAACTTCAACAACAAAATTCCAACAAGAATAATATAAAGAAAACACATAGATTATTATCTTAATTCTGAATATACGTTAAAAAATCCCAGACAAACTTCAGCAAACTGAATAACACACTATCACCAGAGTGGTTTTATTTCAGGAATAAAAAGTTGAATTAATGTTAGAAAATCAGACTGGGAAACATTGCAAAACCACATCTCTACAAAAAATACAAAAACTAGCCAGGTGTGGTGGCATGGGCATGTAGTTCCAGCTGCTGGGGAGGCTGAGGTGGGAGGACCACTTGAGCTCAGGAGGTCAAGGCTCCAGTGAGCTGAGATTGCACCGCTGCACTCCAGCCTGGGTGAAAAAGCAAGACACGGTCTCAAAAAAATAAAAATAAAAATAAAAAAGAATATCAAATAATGTTATTCATCACATTTCCAAATTGAAAGACAGTAGAACCATATTACCATTTCAACAGATGCAAGAAAAACATTAAATGTTAATATTTATGTTTAGAAATTATTTGTAAACTAAGAATAGAGGTGAATTAATCTGATAGAGATAATCCATTAGATTGAACCATATGCAATTGCTATTTTTATTATATGAAAAATGATAGAATATAGGCAATATATAGTTCATCCTAATTTTTAAAATACAACAAACATTATAATCAAAGGTAAAACATTGAAAGCTTTGAAATCAAGTTGGTGTAATCTGGCTTGCCACCAGAAATTAAATCCAATCTTTTATCAGAGATTCTAATTTGCTTAAGAAGTCATAAAGGAATATAAAACATATAAAGATTAGGATGAAATATGTTAAACTGTTATTATTACTACATGATACCATTATGCCTCAAGAAAGGTCAAAAGAATCTATAGACAAAATTTTTGAAATAATATGAGAATTTAACAAGTTTGCTAAGTACAAAATCGATGTAAATTCAATTTTAACAAACATTAGAAAATTAAAAACATTTTTAAATGATCTCATTTATAATAATATTAAAAATATAAAGCGTGGAGGAATCAATCTGACAAGAGGTGTACCATGTCTATAGTAAAAACTACAAAACTTTATTGAATGACATCATAAAGGATTTAATGAATGAAAAGACATACCATGTTCATTGATAGAAAATAATATTGTAAAAATAAAGAAATGTATGCGTAGGCATATATGAAGATACAAACATTTGAATTATTCCCAGTTGATAAGAAGTCAGTGTAATCACAATTAAAATCCCATAAATTATGTGTGTGTGCATATGTGAGTGTGTGCTGAACTTGACAAAGATATTCTAAACTTTTCATGGAAATGAAAACGGCCAAGCATAACCAAAAAGAATAAGGTGGGATGACTTGTTCTACCAAGTACTAAAACTTATTACAGAGCTGTAGTTATCAAGATAGTGGTGTTTGAAGGAACGAACAAAGAAAACATGGAAAAAATTAGAGCCGCAAATCAGATCCATCATATGAATGCTTAATTTTTGACAAGTTTGCACTGCAGAGCAGTGAAGAAAAGGGAAATTTTTAAAATAAATGAAGTTGGAACAATTAGATATTCATATGGGGAAAAATAAAATCTCATATCACAAATATGGGGATTCAGACTAAATGTGAAAGGCAAAACTATAAAGCTTAACTATAGGAAGCTATGTAAGAGTATGTCTTCAGGATTTAAAGGATTAAGGAAAGATTTCTTAAACAAGCACTGAAAGCTATAACCATAAAGGAAAAGGTTGAAATTTTGACCACACTAAAATTAAACCTTTGTCACTGTTTTATTAAATTGTTGTAATGGATGCTTTTATTACTGGGTTTCAATCATTTTTATTTTTCTGACATAGGGGTTTAAGGCTATAAATTCCAAGTACAGCAGTAACTATATGCCTCAAGTTTCGTGTGCAGTATTTTAATTATTATTTAGTCCAAAATATTTTCTAGTATCCGTGGCAATTTCTTTTTTGATAAATCAGTTATTTAGATCATTCCCCAAATTCTTAACATATGAGGATTTTCTAATTATCTTTTTGTAAATATTTATAGTTTAATTCCACAATGATCAGAACACATACTTATATAATTTTGATATTTCAAAATTTGTTGAGACTTGCTTCTTGACCAAGCCCATGATTAATTTTAGTTAATATTTCACGTGAGCTTGAAAAAGATACGTGTTTTTCAGTTGTTGGGTGCAGTGCTCAATTACATCAAATTTGTTAATCACATTGATCAAATCTTTTGTATCCTTACTGACATTTTGTCTGCATGTCCTCTTAGTTACTGAGAGCGGCTGTGGTAGTCAACCTTTAAGATGATCTCCAGCTCCTGGCATTCACACCACTATGTAATCCCCTCCCCTGGATCTAGTGACTCACTTCTAATGAAAAAGTAAAACTAACAGGATGCCACTTCTGAAATTAGCTTATAAAGAAATTGTGACTTGTATCTTCTTCTTCCCCTCTCTCCTGCTTCTTGAGGAGAAGCAGCTGCCATGTTGTGAGCTGTCCTATGGAGAAGCCCATGTAGCAGATATCTGATGTCTTCAACCAGTTGCCCGCAAGGATCTGAGGCCTGCCAATAGACATGGCAGTAAGCTTGAAGTGGATTCTTCTCCAGTTGAGCCTTTGGATTATTGCACTATTGGTAGACACCTTGATTGCAGCCTTACAAGAGACCTTAAACCAAGGTCTCTCAACCTAAACCATGTCTAGAATCCTGACTCACAGACAACGTGAGACGATAAGTGTTTGTTGTTTGAAATCACTAAGTTTAGGTAATTTGTTAGATGACTAATACAGATTGGTTAATAATCTGGTACCATAATTGTGAGAAGGCAATGTGAAAATGGAACACAGAGAGATTTAAAGACACTGGCGTTGAAGATTTAAGCTATGCTGCTGACAGGCCAGTGATGCTGGCAGCAACCAGAAGCCAAAAGAGAAAGGGAATATGCTCTCTCTTAGAATCTCCAGAAGGAGCAGTTCTGCTGATGCCTTGATTTCAGTCCAGAGATATTGATTTCAGACTTCTGGCCTCTAGAACTGTGAGAGACTAAATCTGGTTTTTAAACAACTTTATTGCGATGTAATTCACATACCATACAATTTACACATTTAAAATGTACAATTCAATATTTGCAGATATTTGTTTGTAGATATGTGCAACCATAACCCAGTCATTTTGAACATTTTTATCATCTCAAAAAAAACTCCATGCCTTTCATGTAATAACCTCCATTTTCCCCATCTTTCCACCATCCCCCAAATCATAAGAAATGTTCTGTCTTTAATCTACTTTCTGTCTCTATAGATTTGCCTATTCTGAGTATGTCATATAAATGGAATTATTTTTAAAAAGTGATTTTTTAAAAAAATTATACTTTAAGTTCTGGGATGTATGTGCAGAACCTGCAGGTTTGTTACATAGTTATACGTGTGCCATGGTGGTTTGCTGCACCCATCAACCCGTCATCTACATTGGGTATTTCTCCTAATGCTGTCTCTCCTCTTGTCCCCCACAGGCCCTGGTGTGTGATGTTCTCCTCCCTATGCCCATATGTTCCCATTGTTCAACTCTTACTTATAAGTGAGAATATGTGGTGTTTGTTTTTTTTTGTTCCTGTGTTAGCTTGCTGAGAATGATGGTTTTAGCTTCATCCATGTCCCTGGAAAGGACACAAACTCATTCTTTTGTATGGCTGCATAGTATTCCATGGTATATATATGCC